AATCCATTTATGATATACTTTAAAAGTTATAACCCACAACTTTATTAAGATTGGTAGTAATATATTTTTACTTAAAAAACTGAGGGTTTCAAATAAAGTTTATGAGTACTCACATTATTAAATGTCAATGGAACTGTAAAATTAAATAACTCATCCGATTATGAACATTTAAAGCAACTAATATTTCAAACGTGGATAGATTTAGACATTAGTAATAATGCCTTTGAGATTATAATTATTCCTTATAATTATTTTATAAGAAGCTAATTAATGTAAGGATTTTTAAAACATAAGGATATATATTATGGAGGGAACCTGGGGCATCGCCCGGGGGTATGTTCTAGTCTCTAATAAATAAAGTCGGTCTCGCAGCAAGGCCACGAGACAACGACACTTGGCATTCTAGTTTTTCGCCAACTGTTGAGCCACATAGGTGATAAATAGATATTATTGTGAAACATATGATGCTAAATAAGCGATTTTTGGATAGGTTTTTTAAGATAAAATTGTTGCATAGAGTTTTACTATCGATAAAATTCTAATATTTCATATATACAAAATTAATCATCACTTTTAATAAATATCCTATAGCTCAATTCTAATTCCATCATCAAATTTGTATTAAAGAGTTCTTTAAAATAAGATCCATTTATAATATATTTAATCACAAACTTTTATACGTATCTGGCCAAACCATGTCACCAACCATTACAAGATCAGAGTTACTTCGTTAGTGCTATAGGGGTTACTTGGTCAGTGTTATAGTGGTTACTCAATTAGTGTTATAGATAGAGGTTACTTAGTCAGTGTTAGAGGTTCCTCAGTTAGTATTACAGGAGTTACTCGATCAGTTTTATAGGGGTTACTTTATTCGGCCAGATGATGTGGTTAACCGCATACAAAATACATTGTTATTCAATTTATTAAAAAAAAGTATTAGAGAATCAGTAAAATAAGTTTTAATTAGTATAAATAATTTTAGTTTGGTAAAAATACTTTCAATTTAGTGCAAATAATTTAAGTTCAATAAGAATAAATTTAAGTCAATAATATTATATATATCTGTTATTTACAAACAAGAACAAACAAAGTACACTCCATATGATATCGTATGTCTAAATATCCTACATCATCATAACAAATAGTTTGGTATTTAACATTTAAGTAAAAATGTTATCTTAAAATTTTATCAACCATCTGGGCACAAAACTAGTCACTAATAAATAAAGCCGGCCTCGCAGCAAGACCACGAGACAGCGACACTTGGCATTCCAGTTTTTTCGCCAAGTGTCGCGCTACGTAGGAGATAAATAGGTATTATTGTGACACATATGATTCTAAGTAAGAGATTTTTGGATAGTTTTTTTAAGATAAAGTTGTTGCATAGAGTTTTATTATCGATGAAACTAATATTTCATATATATAAAATTAATCATAACTTTTAATAAATATCCTATAACTCAATTCTATTTCCATCATCAAATTCGTTTTAAATGTTCTTTAAAATAAGATCCATTTATAATATATTTAATCACAAACTTTTATACGTATTTGGCAAACCGTGTCACCAACCATTACAAAATCAGAGTTACTTCATTAGTGCTATAGGGGTTACTTGGTCAATGTTATAGTGGTTACTCAATTAATGTTATAGATATAGGTTACTTAGGCAGTGTTAGAGGTTCCTCAGTTAGTATTACAGGAGTTACTCGATCAGTTTTATAGGGGTTACTTTGTCTGGCCAGATGATGTGGTTAGCCGCATACAAAATGCATTGTTATTCAATTTATTAAAAAAAGTATTAGAGAATCAGTAAAATAAGTTTTAATCAATATAAATAATTTTAGTTTGGTAAAAATACTTTCAGTTTAGTGCAATATAATTTAAGTTCAACAAAAATAAATTCAAGCAATAATAACATAGATTTTACAAACAAAACTACACAAACTACACTCCATATGATATCATATGTCTAAATATCCTACATTATCAGAACGAATTATTTGACTGTATTTAACATTCAAGTAAATATGTTATTTTAAAATTTTATCAACCATTTAGGGATCGTCCGGGCACAAAACTAGTCACTAATAAGTAAAGGCGGTCTCGCAGCCAGGCCACGAGATACTGACACTTAGCATTCTAATTTTTCGCCAAGTGTCGCGACACGTAGGAGATAAACAGGTATTATTGTGACACATATGATGCTTAGTAAGAGATTTTTGGATAGATTTTTTCAGATAAAATTGTTGCATAGAGTTTTTTTATCGATAAAATTTTAATATTTCATATATACAAATTTAATCATAATTTTTAATAAATATCATATAACTCAATTTTATTTCCACCATCAAATTCGTTTTAAAAAGTTCTTTAAAATAAGATCCATTTATAATATATTTAATCACAAACTTTTATACGTAGCTGGCCAAACCGTGTCAACTATTATTACAAGATCAGAGTTTATTTTGTTAGTGTTATAGGGGTTATTTCGTAGTGTTATAGTGGTTACTCAATTAGTGTTATAGATGGGGGTTACTTAGTCAGTGTTAGAGGTTACTCAATCAATATTACAGGGGTTACTTAGTCAGTGTTAGAGGTTACTCAATCAATATTACAAGGGTTACTTGATCATTTTTATAGGGGTTACTTTGTCCGGCCAGAAGCTGTGGTTAGTCGCATACAAAATGCATTTTTATTTAGTTTATTTAAAAAAAATTAGAAAATCAGTAAAATAAGTTTTAATCTGTAAAAAAAAATTTAGTTTGGTAAAAATACTTTCAATTCTATGCAAATAATTTTAGCTCAATGAAAATAATTTCGAGACAATAATAACATAGATATCTATTTACAAACAAAACTACACAAAGTACACTCCATATGATATCATATGTCTAAATATCCTACATTATTAGAATGAATTATTTGACCGTATTTAACATTCAAGTTAAAATGTTATCTTAAAATTTTATCAATCATCTGGGCATTGCCCGGGCACAAAACTAGTCACTAATAAATAAAGCCGGTCTCGCAGCCATACCACGAGACAACGACACTTGGCGTTCCAATTTTTCGCCAAGTGTCGCGCCACACAAGCAACAAACAGGTATTACTGTGACACATATGATGCTAAGTAAGAAAATTTTGGATAGATTTTTTAAGATAAAAATATTGTATAGAGTTTTATTATCGATATAATCTAATATTTCATATAAAATTTTTATCATAATTTTAAATAAATATCTTATAACTAGATTCTATTTCTATCATTAAATTCGTTTTAAAAAGTTCTTTAAAATAAGATCCATTTATAATATATTTAATTTATTTTAAAAAATAGAGAATATGTAAAAATATTTATAATCAATAAAAATAATTTTAGTTTGCTAAAAATGCTTTCAATTCAGAAAAATAATTTAAATTCAATAAAAATATTATATAAATAAACAATATGATATTGTATGTTTAAATATTCTACATTATCAAAAAGGATTATAGGACCGTATTTAACATTCAAACCAAAAATTTTATCGTAAAATTTTATTAACAATTCGGACATCACCTGGACATAAAACTATTATATATATAAATTAAAGTCATTCAAAGGACAATTGATGCTCGTAAAACGCCCCCATCCTAATTTAATAAAAATTGTACCCTTACATCAACAAAATTAAAAGGTACGGGATGCAATAATATACTTATATTACCACCAAGCTAACCATAGGTCATGTTTTCTCACCTTAACAAAGTAATAAGAAGCACTATGTATTCATCAAAAATAATATAAGTTAGATATAAATAATTACGATTTGGTAAAAATACTTTAATAAATATTACAAGTAGATGAGACAACAAAGTCTTTATTCAATTTTTTACCCTTGCCATATACGTGTGAATGATTAAATCTTATCAAATACGGAGTACATACAAACGGATGAAAATGACAAGTTCTCCTATGCCATGTTTGTAATACGAACTTTGCATTAGCTTGCCCTAATTTATGAATAAAAAACATTTGCAATTACGTGTTAGGTATTTTCATAGTGATACATACGAGTAGAAGTAGTTCGAACGTAGTTCATTTGTGCATTTTGAGTTGTAACATCATCCTTCATCCAATCCGTATGTTTTAGGTCTAGGAACCTAGTTGCCTGGGACAGTGGGACTGGGCTTTGATGGTAGCTGCCTATTCTTACAACAGAGTGGCAATTTTACTTTCCACCATACAATTATTGGGTGTTGGGTCAATTTGTTTGTTTATACGTAATGAGTATGGAGTAGGTCTCAACTTTCAAGTTTAAGTTGGTCATTTAATATGATGTCAAAATTTAGCATTAAAAAATAATATCAACAGTTAGCGTGAAAAATTGGTCAAAGGTGAATTCTCATCCAAATATCAATCTTGATATATTAAATAAAATTTTTTAAATAATAAAATTTTAAATTTTATATATCATATTAATAGTACCAGTATCGTCATTTAGTATAACATTCAAAAAAATAGTATATGAAAAAAATATATGTACTTATTTTAATAATAATAAGTTTAATAAGGTCTATAAAATTGTAATAAGTTCAACTAGGTCTAATAAGTTTTAATAAGATAAGATGATTTTCAATAAATTCAATTAATTTCAGGTCCAATAAGGTGAAGAGAACATACTAAATTAAATGAAAATTTTGAAGCCTTAAAATGCACTAAGCCATTGAGTCAATCCAAGCATAAACACAATAACCCAATTCTTCAAATACGAAGTATGATATAATTACATTTTTACTATGTATAAGTATAAATACAACTTAATACAAAGTCAAAAGTACTCCGTATAAAGTAAGATAAGCACATGCACATCCCATCCGACCCATTTGAAATGTAAATGCTAGCAATATATCCATTTAAATAAAGATAGACTTTATGATTTTTGTATCGTATCTATTTTATTACTTCGCATTATAATAATAAATGCAAATAACTTGAAAAAGGTTGAAAAGTTCTACAAAGTATATAAATAGCCAACGATTACTGCCTAGTATCTACAAGTTGGTTGCATGACTTGCATCTATCATCACTTAGCCAACTTCTTTATTTTTTTTTCCAACTAATCTTAAGCCAAAATGAGCACCAAAGTTAAAGAAACCACAATTATATGCCCTGAACAAGAAACCCCAAAAGGAAGTCTTTGGCTATCAAGCCTAGACTTAATTACTCGTTCACCTTACACACATACTCATGTTTTGTTCGTCTATGAACCAAACAAGGCTCAAAACACAAATTCTACACCATTTTTTGACACCAATCTTATAAAAGAAACTCTTAGTAAAGCCCTAGTGGCATTTTACCCTATGGCAGGACGATTAAAGACCAACAACAAAACTGGTCGAATCGAGATCGACTGCAATGCGAAAGGGGCCTCGTTCATCGAAGTCGAGACAACACATGTTCTCACTGATTTTGGTGACTTTAAGCCGTCTCCTGAGCTACGAAAGGTGGTGTTTCCGAAGTATGGCTATGCTGGGGGGCTTTCGTCGTCCCCTCTACTAATGGTGCAGCTGACCCGGTTTAAGTGTGGTGGGATAAGCCTTGGGTTTGTGCAACATCACCATGTAGCTGATGGGGCTTCTCATGTGCATTTTATCAACTCTTGGGCAAGGCTAACTAAAGGGCTTGACCTTGATGTTTTGCCGTTTCATGATAGGTATAATTGCTTTGCGCCGCGAGATCCGCCCCAAATTAAGTTCCAACATTTGGAGTATGAGCCACCCTTGCCACCCTTACCACCTAAGGTGTTTTCAGGTGAGGCTAGCTAATAAGTTATCTACTTGCACGAATATAAGCTCTAATTTTTTTATTTTTTTTTATTTTTTTTTATTTTTTTTTATTTTTGTTCTTTGTTTTTGTAAAACCGATTCAGTTAGACTATTACTATTATTGACGAATCTTTTATTAGAAAGATTGGATAACAATTAATAATATATAGGGTTAATGGTTTTCATCTATTTGTTATCTTTGTTAAATCTCATCTAATAATTAATTAATTACCCTTACCTTCAAACCTAAAGTAAGGAAGATAGGTTTAAGTGATTATTTTTTTTCCTAATTAAACCAAACAAATAAAAATGTGAAAGTTAAATAATTCATTTCCCCACTCTTATTTGTTTCTTTTCTACTCCATTATTTTCAATATAATATTTATGCCAAGCACCTTTTATTTTTAATATTAGATGGTTATTAACATTATATGTGTAATTTTATTACAGGTGAGGCAACTACCATAATAGAAGGTCTATTTAGATTCACCAAAGAACAAATTAATACCCTAAGGCTACAAGCAATGTCCCAAGAAGTACTGAACTATAGACCTAGTACTTTTGAGGTCATAGCTGGGCACGCATGGCGTACTTCATGCAAGGCACGTGGACTAACAGACGATCAAGACGTAAAACTCTACATACCAAGTGACGGCAGATCAAGAATGAAGGATCCACCATTGCCACAAGGATATTGTGGCAATGTAATCTTTTTCACGGCTTGTGTAGCCAAGGCAGGCGATGTCATGAACAAACCACTATGGTACCCCGTACGTAAGGTTCACCAAGCCGTAAATAGAGTGAAAAGCGATGAATACTTAAGATCGGCAATCGACTACCTTGAATCACAACCCGACCTCAATACTCTCGTTCGTGGGGCCCATACTTTTACGAGTCCGAATTTTACAATAAATTCTTGGGTCACCATACCTTACAATGAATCTGATTTTGGATGGGGTGGGCCCAAATATGTGCGCCACGGTGGCATTAAATATGAAGGTCAATCATATCTAATAGCAAGCCAAAATGGAGATGGAAGCATCTCATTGGCTGTCAAGCTTTTCACAGTCCACATGGCACTTTTTGGAAAATATTTATATGATTTTTAAATCTAAGTAAACTTTGTTGTCACAATTTCATTCATAAAATGTAGGTCGAATTTATGTCGTTATGTCCATGCACGTAGCTTTCATTGGATGGCTAGCTGTTTTTTTTTCTTTTTCCCCTTTCATGTTTGTCATGATAATGACCATTCATTTGAAAGTCTTAAGAACACAAAAGGAGATCGTCTGTTAGCCAAAATGGAGATGGAAGCATCTTATAGGGTTGAGATTATTTGTTTTTTAATTTATTTTTAATTAGTAATTTTTTTTAAAATAATTTTTAAAATTTTTTAAATATATTTTTATCTTTCAGAATTGATTTTTTTTAGTATTTTCGAAATTCTGAAAATAAAAAAATATATAAAATAACTTAAAAAAATAATTTTTAATTAAAATTACTAATTAAAAATAAAACAAAAAATAAATAATCTCAGCTGTCCATTTAAAAAAAATTGTGATAGTAAAAAATTATAAGACTATATTAGAATTTTCAATGTAATTTTGCAATTGTTGGAGTTGAGTTCCTCAAAAAAAAAAAATGTTGGAGTTGATAGATCATAGATGGAAGTAACTGCGGAATCAATTCTAGAAACATGGCGAAGTAGATAATTAGTCAAACCATTTTGTATTGATTGTGTTTGTAATGCACTTCTTTTGCATAATTTTGTTTATAGGAAATTTGTTTAGACAATGATTTTCTATTACTCTGTAATAAAATAATGATATTTTGTTGCGACTTGTGAGAACTAATGTGTATTAACGATGTTGTATGTTTGTACCTCTATAATGCTGATTATAATTTAACAAGTTTCCCCTACATCTCTTCTTTTATATCACACATACAAGGATTTTGCATCACAAGTGAGCCATAATTTGTCGAAAATTCGATTGCATGTGATACTTATAAAGTACTCGCATTTAGACACACCAGGTTTTGATCGAGTTTGAAAGTGTATCTCTATTCTCTAGCCTAAAATGTGGCTTGAATCTAATTGAATAGTTTATTTGAGGTTTAGCCTTGCCTAATTATAACTGTTTGTTACTTACGTAATATATCTTTTGCTTGAGTCACATGACTTGGCTCAAATCAGGGTCAAACTCCATGTATTGGGCCAAACAAATTAATTTAATTTATATCTATCAATAATCTAATATTTAATCTTTTATATATATATATATATATATATATATATATATATATATATATATATATATATATATGTATATATAAAGTAGGCATTTTTGGAGAGTATTCGGAGCGCCACATAAGAAATATACTTATTTCGACCAATAAGAAGAAAGAGTTGTATTTTATTTTGAATTAAAAAATTATGTCGCCACCTAGATAAAAGTAATGAATTAGATTTGATATATCTAAAATTTTAATGCCACGTAGATTATAATCCACGAATTAAATTATTTTTATGAAAAAAAATAAAGTAAAAATAGGAAAAGATAAATATATTAATTCAATACTACGAGTACAAGAAATCCAAAAAAATATACTAAAAAAAATTTGAATGGTAAACGCTTATACTAAAGTTTGATACCTATCATTATAAGATAAATTTTGATAGTATTTATGATAAGAAATACAAATTGTTTGTTAATTACAATTAAATTAAAATTTGTGATACCTACCATTATAAATTGACACATCATACGACACAAACAAAATTTCGTATCAATAAAAAACCCCATCAAGCGAATTTTGCGTTAGTAATTTTGTGTTATTTTTTGGTCATCAATGAGCGGGTAATTTTTAGCTTAATTTTTAAAATCCTATGTTTAAATTAGTATTTCTAATTATTACTTACATTGTATTAATTTGGGATACTCAACGATTATATGTTTATGTTTTATTTATTAAATGTGTTTTTACATGCAGATCTAACACATCATACGACACAAATATAATTTGGTATCAATACAAAACCCCATCAAGCGAATTTTGTGTTAGTAATTTTGTGTTAGTTTTAGGTCATCAATGTCTGGGTAATTTTTAGAATATTATGTTTAAATTTATATTTGTAATTTTTAGTTACATTGTATTTATTTAGGATACTTAACGATTATTTGTTTATGTAATGGCATACGATTAGATGTTGTATACTTAATATATGGATGGCTTTGGTTATTTTTGGAGATGATAAAAAAATTCCAATGCATAGATTTGATTTTATATCGCAACAATTTTTCATTTATTCGTAAATATATTGATTTAATTTTATATAAATGTAAAGATTTGATTTATATCAATTTCAGTTTGGTTAACATTTCACGGTTCAATTTATCCATGGATGTAGTAGGTTGGTTGTGGATGAGGTTGGTGATTCTATCGAAATAAAAGATATGGTAACAATGAATAATGATTTAGGATTTAAATTATTAAAAATTTATCATTTCACATTAAAGATTTTATATAACGGAAAAATATAATATTTACAAGTTATTTATATTTAATAAATTCATTATAAGTTATAGTAAAAAAAATAAATATTAAACTTTTGTAATTTTGTCTAAAAGTATTAAATACAATAAATCAAATAATTAAAAATTTTAGATGAATAAACCGTTTTACTTTCCTTTTTTTACTTTCCATCTAGTATAATACTAAAAGCGAATCTAACATGATACTTGTCATGTTCTGATTAAAAGTTTTCCCGCCACTTTTACTTTTTTTTTTTTTTTAAATTACAAATCTTCATGAGTATTAATTTATATCCCATATTATTTAACTTTTAATTTGACAACTAAATACGAAGTATATTCTATACGCATTCAATGAAAATATTTTAACATGTCTTTTATATATTTTATAATAGATATTTAATAAACAAACATATATTACGTATAAGTCAATATATATATTAGAATAATGTACTCCTATATTCCGTATCATTATACGTCGTATTTTTTCTTTCAAAGTTTTTTTTTTTTTTTATTTTTTTTTATTTTTGCTATAATCAGGATTGAAACTTTAGCCTTTATTACATATTGTTGATTTATTTATAATAAAACACTACAATTCAATAACTGTAAATTTTTTTTAAAAAAAATTTATTAATTGTCACAAAAATTTAGTCAATTAAATTTGTATAAAACATTTTGCCGATCAAATTAAGTATGCTATAAAATATTGTGCCGGTCAAAATATGCCAATAAAATAGGGACATATATATAAGTACATTGCATGGGTTATAACTAACATAAAATTTCATTCTTATATAAAACCCTATAAGTGTTTCAAAAAAAAATATAAACCCTATAATCATTAAAATTGCGTTTTTTTAAATTTTTGGTATCAATATAATTTGAATTCAAGTTAGTGTTTTTTGAAAAGAAGTTCAAGTATTTGTTTCAATTAAAAAAAAATGATTTTTTAAAAAATTTATTGTTAAATTGACATTGTAATTCATAATTATATTAAATAAAAAACGTGCGTTGCACGGGACTTAAACTAGTCCTATACTAAAGTAGGATTTTTTTTTGGAGGGAATTTTCCCTCCTAAACTTTTTTTTTTTTTTTTTTGGCAAAATCATTAATTTATCTATAAAATTCATTATTTATTTATTTATGTTGATTATTAACTAACAATTTATTTAATTTTGAAGGATAACTATTAACTTACATTTATATAGAGACTTATATAATTCAATTACTACTCCGTATTAATTTTTAAAACCGAGCACGGCTCGGGCATTATCTAGTGTTACTATAAATCTTAAACCCTGGCTTATTGTTCTCGACTATTTGATTCATGTATCATGTATTTGATATTATATTGACAAATTTGTAAATAGAAACATGACAAATGAAAACAAAATAAGAAAAGCTGAAACTTTACATTTTTACTTAAAAGATGTTGATGTTAAACCTTTTAGGTTGATCTATCCAAACCCAAACTTTGACTTAGGGTATAGCATCTTCAACATGTAACCTAAATTGCTCTAGAATAGCCTCTTAATCGACCCAATCCAAACTCATTATGATAATGTAATAGATTAAATAAATTTCCTTGAAAAAAATTAATTGACTTAGGCCTTGTTCTTTTGGACTTCTCTGCATATTTTATCAATTCAGTTTAGCAAATTTTAGTTAAGTTCAGCAAATATCAACTCAGTTTATTTCATTTCAGTTCAATTCATTTCAATCCAGTTTAGTTGTTGTTGTTGTTATTATTATTATTATTATTATTATTATTATTATTATTATTATGAAATTTAATATTTAATTTCAATTCGGTTTAGTTTAGTTCAATTCAGCAATTTTCTGTTCAGTTCAACGCAACGAAATCCAGTCCAAAAGAACGGGGCCTTATACGTTTACATGTAGCTCAATTTTAATTTTTTTAATACTTACTTTGTTGTATTAGTTCTAATCATGAAAAATACTTGGCCTATTTTTTAGTGAAAAAGAATGGTCATGATATGACTGTCCATAAATCTTGATTGTCAAAGCAACAATCAGCCTGCCCCAATCAAAATTTATCTTTTACAAGGTAATCCAGCTCTACAATACGAAGTATATTTGTAAATTCCTCGTCCAAACTTATTAAAAAGTTTAGATATGTAATTGCGATTTATAAACATGCTAGATTTTTAATGTGATTCTGCAGAAACATTAATTGATCTGAGCTGCTATCACCAACACCTTCCTTGTGAATGTTGAAAAATCTAAACATGTACTTCCTCGATTTTTCTATAGTTGACACGTTTCTTTAGTCACATTTGCTTATGCACAAATTCAATCATTAATATCTTAAATTACCGATAAGCAAAAATTATAAAAAAGTTGATATTTAAAAAATATATATCATGATATCCACATGACTATATTTTTCATTACATATAATTCACAAAACACTGTCAAAGGAAAGTGTGTGATTAATACTAAACTCAAAACGTATTAAATTAATAAAACGAAGATAATATTAAGGAAATTTTGCCAACAACTACCATTTAAATGACGAGCAAGCCCCAGTTTAAAACCTAGATAAACAAATTATGTTTATCAAATGACATTTTCGTAAATAAGTTGCATTTGAAAAATTGTGTTTTTTGATTAAGAAAAATATATTTTTACTGTTTGTGGGCCACTATGACAAGTTGGATAGATTTTCAAAATTAACACCGTTAACTCTCCGTTTGCTACTATTCATCATCTTCTTCCTCCCACCTTCTTCTTCTTCTTCATGTTCATCTTCTTCCTCTTGTTCATATTTTTTCTTCCCACCCACCTTAATCTTCTGGCTCTAATCTCTGCCCACT